ATTCTATTCAAAAAAATGGAATAAAATTGATTATTCTTAGTCTACTGCAATTTAGGTTCAATTGGTAGGTTTTTTTTTAAGGTTCTTTGAAGGTTCTTTGAAGGTAAAAAAATAATACAAACATGCTGATTAATTATATTTGACTTTGAAAGGGATTTTTTTCATTTTCCAGGAAAACATTCTATTCAAAAAAATGGAATAAAATTGATTATTCTTATTCTATTGCAAAATAACTTCAAATAGTAGGTTTTTTTTAAGGTTTTTTTTTAATATAAAATTTAATTATAATACACAATTTAACTATAATATAATAATTAAGAAACTTAACTACATAAATTGTAAAATTAGGGAAAATACACGAAACAAAAAAATAAATTTGATTCAAATAATCGGTTACTGAATTATAATCAAATAAATATTTACCTGAACCAATCCCACTTGGAAAGATTCCCCGGAAAGTGCCCCCTGGAGGTTCTATCAGAATTCCGCCGGAACTTCCAACGTAATTCCGTCGGAATTCCATCGGAATCCAAATAATTTCTGATGAGATTCCGACGGAATTCATATTAATTTTTTCAAAATTTTTAAAGTCCTAATTCCGTTGGAACTCGGTCGGAATCCCATCGGAAATTCTTTGGAACTCCGATGGAATTTCGACGGAATTACATTGAAAGTTCCGGCGGAATTCTGATAGAACTTCCAGGGGGCACTTTCCGGGGAAATTCAATTATTTGCGGTTTCAAAAATTATTTGTTTCAAGTAAATATTTATTTGATAATAGTCAATGAATTATTTGGATGAAATAAATTTTTTTTTTTTTCACTGTAGTCAGTAGAGGAAAAAAGTTTATTTATATCAATATAGATAAATATAAAGGTTGAATTGAACTGGGTCTCAGGGAAATTTGTGATATTTGTTGTGAGAGCGGTTTAAAGTTTTGGGTTTTGGAACTATTGTGTGCTGAACTCTCTTTGTGTGTATATGTGTGTGTGTGTGTCAGTTTCACGCGAATGATAGAAAGTCAGAACGTTTGCAATAAAGTGAGACGTTGAAATAGAATTTAGAAAGACTTGGGGGATGCATAAACCGGACAGCCAGTCACGAGGGAGTGAGCAAGCGAGTTTGTGTGTACTCGGAACAGCGTCGAGCATCGCGACGCATATAAATCAGCATAAATTGCAATTCTGGATTCCATAGGCGGTATGCACGTTCAGTAGTTCTCTGCTGCTGCTGCTGCTACTGCTCCTGCATGGCATGGCGATCTCCTATATACAGTGCAAGCAAAACGGTTATTACTTATTTTGAGAACTCAGACAATTACTAAACTTGTTGTTGTTATTTATTTATTTTTTTCAAAGTAATATAAATAAAATGTTTCAATATTTTTTTTTTATATAAATTTTCTACAAAACAAATTTAAAATTAATTTAAATTTTCTCTACTGAAAAAAATATTCACAGTACCGCACCAGTATTGTGACAATAGTCAATTTTTAATAGGGATTAGAAAACAAAAAAAAAAAATTAAAATCTGAAACTATTTTGAATTTTTTTTTTTTTAATTTTTTTAAAATGCACTATTTTTGAATAATAATAACGTGGAAAATGACTTGTTGAAAGATAAATAGAACCTTGGTCTTAAACTGTGTGTATATACGTAAGGCACATCATATTTATCTTACAGGCTAGCTCATGAAATTTGGCTAAATTACACAACCCCTTCAGCTGACTAAGGCAGGATGTGTCTACTATACTCGTGAATACTGCAGTACAAACAATGCTAATAACATTGTTAAATAATTAATTACAATGTTAGATGAAAATAATGAGAAATTAATATTACTTAAAATTAATTAACAACAATTGAGAACATTAAAAATGAGAGGGCAATTTTAATATTTATTATAATTATTCTTGGAAAAAGAATATTAATAGGAATAATAACAAGAAAAAAAATAATAGTAATAGTAATAATTATAGTAATAGTGTAATAGTAGTACTAGAAGCAATACTAGAAATGACAGTAATTGTAAAAGTGTAATAGTAGTATTTGCAGAAATAGTAGTAATAGTAGTAGTAGTAGTAGTAGTAGTAGTAGTAGTAGTAGTAGTAAAAATAGTAAAAAAAAGTAAAAATAGTAGTAATAGTATTATAGTATTTTTCGCAGAAATAGTAGTAATCGTATACTAGTAGTAATAGTAGTATTAGTCAAAATAGTAGAAAAAATAGTAATATTAGCACAAATAGTAGTAATAGTAAAAATAGTAGAAATAGTAGTATTAGGGAAAATAGTAGTAATAGTAGTATTAGCAGAAATAGTAAAAATAGTAATAATAGTAGTATTTGCAGAAATAGTAGTAATAGTAGTATTAGTCAAAATAGTAAAAAAATGTAAAAATAGTAGTAATAGTATTATAGTATTTTTCGCAGAAATAGTAGTAATCGTATACTAGTAGTAATAGTAGTATTAGTCAAAATAGTAGAAAAAATAGTAATATTAGCACAAATAGTAGTAATAGTAAAAATAGTAGAAATAGTAGTATTAGGGAAAATAGTAGTAATAGTAGTATTAGCAGAAATAGTAATAATAGTAGTATTAGTAGTAATAGTGGTATTAGTCAAAATAGTAAAAAAATAGTAATATTAGTAATAGTAATATTAGTAAAAATAGTAGTAATAGTAGTATTATCAAAATAGTACAAATTGTAATATTAGCAGAAATAGTAGGAATAGTAAAAATAGTAGAAATAGTAGTATTAGGGAAAATAGTAGTAATAGTAGTATTAGCAGAAATAGTAATAATAGTAGTATTAGTAGTAATAGTGGTATTAGTCAAAATAGTAAAAAAATAGTAATATTAGTAATAGTAATATTAGTAAAAATAGTAGTAATAGTAGTATTATCAAAATAGTACAAATTGTAATATTAGCAGAAATAGTAGGAATAGTAAAAATAGTAGAAATAGTAGTAATAGTAGTATTAGCAGAAATAGTAATAATAGTAGTATTAGTAGTAATTGTTGTATTAGTCAAAATAGTAAAAAAATAGTAATATTAGTAAAAATAGTAAAAAAATAGTAATATTAGTAAAAATAGTAGTAATAGTAGTATTATCAAAATAGTACAAATTGTAATATTAGCAGAAATAGTAGGAATAGTAAAAATAGTAGAAATAGTAGTATTAGAGAAAATAGTAATAACAGTAGTATTAGCAGAAATAGTAAAAATAGTAATAATAGTAGTATTAGTCAAAATAGTTGAAAAATTAGTATTATAGTAGTATTAGCAAAAATGTTAAAAATAGTATAAATAATAATAGTAATAATAATAATAAAAATAATAGTAATTATAGTAATAGTAATAGTTTCATAGTAGTAATAATAACAATGTAATAATAGTAATAATAATAGAATTTTACTTGTATTTTAAAGAAAATAGAAAGGTGCTTACTCAATGCAAGTAGTAAAAGAACAGTTTAGTCAGACACAAGTAATAAAGAAAATCAATTTATCTCCTATTTTACAAGTAGAATAGTACGCGTCTAGTCAGACGGTATTTTTTCAATAAAGAAAAATTTCATCTTGTATTTTTAAGTACTAAATTATTTTTTAAGTAGTAAAACAAACGTTTAGTCAGTCACTATTTTACACTTGGAAATCCCATCTTTTCTTAAGTAGTAAAAGACTCATTTAGTCAGACAAATGTATCCTCCAGGAAAGCACATTTTATCTTCTATTTTGTAAGTAGAACACTAGTTAGGCTTTTTTTAACATAGAAAAATTTCCTTCTTTTAAGTAGTAAAAAAATTTCTAGTCAGACATTCCATTTTTTAAGTAGTAAAGGGTGTGTTTAGTCAGACGTAAATTACACGTGAGAGTGTCTAAATATAATATATTTTCACACTTATGTTATACGATATATATATATATTTACCTTTTTTTTTAATATAATGTTAGAAACATTTGTCTCTAAATAATAAAAATAGGATACACACTCATGTGGAAACGATGTGAAAAGGGTTTTTCCGTTTTACTTCTCTACTTTTCAAGAACATTATTGTGTCAGCGACATTTACCACGTTCGATGAGTTATCGGCTCCTTTTCCTCCATTCTTCATTTATAAAAATATATATAGCCGCAAATGGATAAATCCTGCACATCCTTTGAACTTTATTTTCCTCTATGCGAGATTTATTTTTTTTCCACCTTCGTTATAGTAATAATAATTTAAAAAAAAAAAAAAAGAATCGACACTAAATTTTCATTTGCGTGGAAATTATTATAAAATTAATCAAAAAGTACTTGGAGAAAAAAAATTTGTTTTGAATCCTGTGTAAAGAATAAAAAAAAAAAAAAAAAAAAAAAGATAAATTGATGCCAAGTCTCGGGTATAATTAACTTTTTTTTTAATTCCAGCGCTTTTTCTTTATTTTTCAAGCGCAGATGAGCACACACGTAATCGTAGAGAATTTTTTTTTTTTATTTTTTTTTGAGTTTTTTTTTCCCCCATGTTTGTTGTATAAAAGATGAAAAAGTTTATGTAAAAACTTTCAACTTTTCCATTCCATCCATTGTTGGCTTTCCATTCCCACTTTACATTTCTCATTCGCTCGTAAATTTGTAAAATTTCCAGCCTTATTCCTGCCAAACTGAGTTTTCAGAGTCTACTCTCGACAGCACGTCGCCTCATAACATGTTTTTCACGTAAAGAGAAGAACTGCCGATTGTATTATCCGTTATTTGTTTCGAAGTGAAACAGCCAAAAAAAAAAAAAAAACAAAAACAAAAAAGTTATCATTATTTTTCATGATTTATATCGATTGTCGATTTTTTCCCATATGAAACTTTATTTTCTTTTTTTATTGCGAGAAATCATTTATACTTTTCATTTAATTGAAAAGAAAAAATAAATAGAAATATTAAGTAAAAAAAAATTAATTAAAAATTAAATTAATTAATAATAAAATTATAATTAATAATTAGGTTAATATAAGGAGACAGATTTTTTTTTGTATATATTTTTTTTATTTATTTCGCAAAAAAATGTGTATATATATAATTTTTTTTATCATTCTCTCTCTTTTTTTTTATCGTTGTCGCGCACGCGCGTACTTGTAAATTTTTTTTTTTGACACACTCATACACACACAAAGACCGCACAATTCGAGAATATATAAATTTATTCTTATACATAACAAGAAAAAAAAATTAATACTTTCCACGTCGACATACTGCTAGTATCACTGTATGTTTGTGTACATCTTGCTCTCATATATTTCATTTTTAAATAATCAATTTGAAGATAAAAAAAAATTACCCCTCATTACAAAACAAAAAACACGAATTCAACAAATAGTCATGAACACTTTTTAGCTGTAGCAGCAAAAAAAAAATTGACACATATTTTATTATAGTCAAATAATTTTTTATTTTAATATTTACCACCACAGCGAAAAAAAACGTGTCAAGCAAAAAATTTGTTCAATATTCTTTTTTTATAGTATTTTTTTTCACAAAATTCGTATTAAAAAACAAAATTTATTCTATTATTTTGTTCGCAATTATACAATTGATTAAAAAAGTTTTTTTTTTTAAACGAATAACAAAGAAAAAACTTAGAATCTAGGAACAATTTTCATTTTAAGGCACTGATTAATTAATCAGTTAATTTGCCAAAATTTTGATTATCAAAAAATTTTCGATTCGTATGTTTTTTTTTTCTACTAACATGCACTATAACAACTTTTATCAGAAATCGAAAGCACATAGGGAATATTACAATTGAAACTTGATAAAAATATATAACTTTCTAGACATATGAAAAAATATTCATGCTAAATCTCTATTAGAATTATAATAATAAAAAAAAAAACGAACGCCATCTTATATATAAATGACTACATATTGTCATTGCGGCAAAGCAGTTATAATTAAGTATCGCATTTTTAAGTAGGTCTTAAGTTGATTGGATATAAGAAGTGATATATATATATATATAAAGGCACCTGCATTATGAACTGGAATATAAAACAAAAATATTATATCTTCATTCAAAAAATCTTATTTCTCAAATCTATTTCCGCTTGATTAATATATAATTAATAAATTTACTTATACAATTCTAATTTAATCAAAAGTTTTTAAAAAAATATGAATGAAGTAAAAATTTCAAAAGAGGAAAAAATAATATTTTTCTCTTTTTTTTATGAAATACATACTTTTATAAAAAAATAATTTTAATTGAAAGTTAAGAATTTAATTTAAAATTTTTATTTAAAAACTTTAATATAAAGAACATAGAAAAAAGAATGGATCAAACAAAAAGTGGAAAAAAAATTCCCAAGTAAAGAAAGGAATTAAAAAATGAAATAAAAAAAAAGGAGGAAAAAAAAATTAAATGTTATCGTAATTATTAATTTCCTTCGGCAAATTAATAATAACAGTTTTTAAAAAAAAAGGAAAAAAGAGTTTGAAAAGCAATTATGTGCTGCTTGTTTTTAAAATTGGTTTTTTTTTTTTGAGAAGCGAAAGTGAATTATTCTTGTGACTTGGGAAATGAGAATCGACTGTAACTCGAGATTAAATTAGAACTCTATAAGTATTGGAAGCTGATTGGAAATGAAAGTGGAAGGCACAATTTTCTAATGAAGCCCCCCCCCCACCTCCCCTCTATTCGTTAACGAGACTACTAATTAGCTTACTTTGTAGCTACACTGTGATTCGCACCACCAAGTGGAAATACATGGGAAGAGCACCTACTTGAAACTTTCGGGGGCAAAAAAAAAAAGCTAGAGATCCTCAACTTCAAGATTAAAAAAAAATATCCTATACATTAAAGCTCATTTTCTTTTATCTTAACAATGACTATTGATTATTATAATTTTCAAAAAATCTACTCTCATATTTTTTAAATCTTTAAAAATGATATTTCCATAATTTAATTTTCTAACTAATTTAGCAGTTTTTTAATTTTCATTTTTTTAAAATGGAAAAACCTTTTTTTTCTAATCGAAAAAAAATTTTACAAATAAATCAGAAATTATAAAAAATTAACAAAATGAAATTTTAAGAATTGAAATAATTATGGTAGCAAAATATTTCTAATGTAAATTTTCGCAAAAAATTAAGTTAACATTATTTTGAATGGTAATTTTGGCAAAAAATTAAGTTAACGTAGAATAGAAATTTTTGCAAAAAAAAATTATGTTTAAATTTTGAATAAAAATTTTATTAAAAAATAATAAAAAGAAAAAATTTCTATTGGACGATACACTTGGCACGTATATGATATCAATAAATTTCGATATTTTCAAGTCGTGATCATATTTGTTTTTTTTACGATTGAGGCTCTATAAATTTTTCTCCTCGGGCAGGTTAAAAGTTTTTCTCATCGCGTGGGAATAACGGTGAATACTTTTTTTTTGATACATGATATTCGTCTTATATCAATAAAAATATATATTTCAAAGTCAGAAATTTTCTTTCTTTAATTTCGTTTAAAAAAAAGAAGAGAAAAAAAATGTCATAACATTAAATAAATATTCCCTTGAATCTACACGATGATGAAACATTTAAAAGTCTATAACAAAAAAAATTATTTTAAACCTCCAAAAAAATTAAAATTTTATTTTATTAAAAATTATATCCCTTTTTTATATAAAAAATTTATCTCCTATTATTTTGGAATCTCAAAATTTTTATCGAATATTTCTAAAATATTTATTTTGTTTGTAAATTGCATTTTTTCAAGAAAAAAGAAATTGAATTTTTTTCTATTGAAAGAGAAACTTGACTAAATTACATATTGAAAAAAAAATTGACTTTCTCATTTATTCGAGTTGATTATTTCGACGATAAAAAAAAATTTTTTTTTCGCCATTGACATGAAAAAGTGTCTTTTTTGTGCCTGTTTTGGGCAGATAAAGTAGCACTTTTTAAGGCAGTTTGGGCCAACTGCCTAAAAAAGACTTTTTTAGGCAGCAAACTGCCGTATAAAGTCTTTTTTAGGCAGTAAACTGCCCTATAAAGTCTTTTTTAGGCAGTTGTTAATTTTTGCATAATTTTTTTTTTTGCTTTTATTTTATTTATCAATTTTTATTATTTTTTTTCTTTAAAATTGTTTCACTTTTTCATAACAATGGCGAAAAAAATAGCGTATGTGGCTCGCACGTAGTAATTTTTAGGTTCGGATGATTTCAATACTCGCTGTCTGTGCGACTTCGGTTCGACTCGGCTCGCTTTCGGCTCGACTCGACTCGCCTTCGGCTCGTCTTCATCTCACCTACAGCTCGCCTTCGTCTCACCTACGTCGCACTAACGACAGCTCGTACTGAAAATTACATCCTCACCTAAAAAGTACTACTTTACGTGCTTGCCACATAATATACTATTTTTTTTTTTCATCCGCTGCAAATACTAATTTGTCGATTACTTTTTAATAAACTCGACGCGAAACTTAGAATATAAGTTTATCGTTGGGGAATTGCCGAGAATTTGCACTTAAACATAAATATTCTAGCGACCGGATGGCAGTACAGTCATGAAGTAAGTTTATCGAGGTATAGAAGCAAACTGAAGGAAACGTTTTGAATATTACATTAAAGCAATCTTGACAACTTTTTTTTTTTCCTTTCTTTTTTCTTCTTCTTAGAAACTGATTTTTCAAGAAAATTTTAAAAACATAGTTTCGCAGTAGCGTTATACATAAATGATCGGGAAATTAATATTAAAAATCACTACCATTAAGAAAAAAAAACAAAAAAAATCGTAATTCAATAAAAATTAATTTTTTGTCGATTGTTTTTTTTTGACATGAAGGCACTGAAGTTTAAAACAATATTTCCAGATTGTCCAATCGACCAATAACTTTTCTCGAGAGCTTTTTCAAAGAGCAATTACGAGGATAATAGAGAGATTATATGTTTCCTAGATATAAAGAGAGAGAGAGAGAGAGAGAGAAAAAGGAGGGCAAAAAAAGAATGGATTTTTAAAGGATAAAGAATTTTTCTGTCTCTTCGAGAATCTTTTCGAGTTTTTTGCCAAACAGGCAATCAATATGAGAGAGAAAAAGAATAGGAGACACAGAGAGAGAGGATAGAGAAATTTTCCGCATTTTCCTAGTGAAGTGTGAAAAACTTTGTGTGATCAATGATTACCCTTCCATGGCAGTTTCCTGAAGATTGTGCAAATGAGCGTAGAGACCATCGGCGGCGATGAGATCGTCGTGTGTTCCCATTTCGGCGACTGTTCCTTTTTCCAGGACACAAATCACGTCAGCATTCCTTATAGTGGCCAATCGATGAGCGATGGTTATGCAGGTCCTTCCCTCCATGGCTTTGTCCAAGGCAGCTTGCACCACCTGAAATAAAAATAGCCTTGGAAATAAAATCTGCTGCTTTTGAACAATTTTTTTTTTTGGAACAATATTTAACAATATAAAAATATACCGACACAGAAATCTACATTACCGACTGATTGTTAAACAGTTTTTCTTAAAAAAATGACAATCTAAAAAATATCGACATAGAAATCTACCTTACTGACTGATGGGAAAACAGTTTTTTTGGAAAAAATGATAATATGAAAAATCACCGACATAGAAATCTACCTTACCGACTGATGGTAAAACAAGTCGTTTGAAAAATGAAAATATAAAAATTACCGACATGGGAATCTACTTTACCAACCGATGGTAAGGCAAATTTCTATGTCGGTAATTTTTATGATAATTTTTCAAAAAACTTTTTTGCCATTAGTCGGTAAGGTAGATTTCTATGTCGGTAATTTTTTATAAAACTGTTTTACTATCAGTCGGTAAGATAGATTCATATGTCGGTAATTTTTAAACAGTAGGATTCCGGTTATCCGAGCTAATGTGGACCGGACCTACCTCGGATAAGGTGAAAACTCGGATAATCCGAATTGTTATTACAATTTAAAATTATTATTTTTTAAACAATTATTCTTTTATTATAAACGGGAAAATAATATTGTATATATTTCATAATAATTTAAACAATTTGAATTTATTAAAAATAAACTCATATTTATAAAAAACTAAAATTAAAAATAACTCGGATGAAGTAGACAAGACTCAGATAATACAGAATTTCCTACTGGGACACCACCTCGGATAATCGAGACCTCGGATAAAGCGAGCTCGGATAAACGGGGTTTTAGTGTATTGTCTTTTTTATAAAACTGTTTTATCATCAGTCGGTAAGATAGATTCCTATGTCGGTAATTTTTATATTGTTTTTTTTATAAAACTATTTCACCATCAGTCGGTAAGGTAGATTCCTATGTCGGTATTTTTTTATATTGTCATTTTAAAAAAACTGTTTTATATTTTAATTTTTCAATATTTTTTATCATCTTGTTAAGTTTTTAACCATCTATGTATTAAAATTGATTTATTATGCATTTTCTTTATTGTCTTTTTTTTCCTAATAACTTTTATAATTATTCTGTTTGTTTATCAATTAAATAATTTAAATAATTTTCCTAAAAATACTGCTCTCGCTATTTTGCCTTCGCCAACCATTTTGCCATTACTTTTTATTTGTAAAAATAATCACATATTTTCGATTTCTACTAAAATTTATTAACGTAAACAGGATTTAAATTCAATACCACGGAATTTACTTTTCTCGAAATGTATTGTTACGGTAAAACAATAGAAGATAATAATAAACAGACTATGCTTTTTCATTCCTTGTTGATTTGGTGAAAATCCCTTGAGGAAAAAAAAAGAGTGAATTCTGATTTTTCAAAAAAAAAAAAGGCACAATATTAACGCAGTGAATTGAAAAAATAAATCTTTATCTTAAAAAAAGGAAAATAATTGAAAATAATTGAAAATAATTGAAAAATCAAATTGAAAATAAAAAAGGAAAAAAAAGATAAAGATCTCTCTTTCTTTTCTATTAGAAATTTTCTCATTTTCTCTCTACTGTCTGGTCGTTTTATAATTATAAGACTTTTTTTGCCCTACCGGATAATCGTTTTCCAGCACTTCGTCAACTCTCTGTAATTCGTTTAGCTGGCAAGCTCAGCATTCGTGGATCTTTTCATGATTAACAGTATTCTACGAAATTGTCTTTTTAACCATCACGATGAAATGTGCGTTCGTCGAAAGGAACCACAATCGTTCCACACGATTTCATCGAAATTCATTCTGTGCTATTCTATATATATATATATATATATATATATACGTATATTTACTATATAGTCCAGTAGCAAATTTTCCCAACTTGAAGAGAATCGCACGCGATCATAAAGCCTATACGTACTTCCGATTGTCGACAGTATTGCACGTGCAAGTATTACTCGATGAGGCGAACGAGTGCGACAATCCACTCATCGATTGTATGCGCGACGCCAAAGAAAATTCTAAATAAAAAAATAAAAAAAAAAAAAAAACTCCAACAAAAATCCTCTCTCTTTATCAAGAAAAATATTTCACATTTATATTTAAGCGAAAAATTCCAATAAATGATTTTCTAAATTTTAAAATATATACTATAATTAAAAAGTACCGCATTAATAAAGCACCATAAATAAATATAAAATATAAGAATAAAAAATGAATAACCAAAAAAAAAAAAAAAAAACTATAATAACAAGAACATAAAAATAAAGTATATAATAATAAACTATAAAATTTTTAAAATGTTCTTCTTTTCTTCTATATATTTGAAGCGTACATATTTTGAAGAGGAAAAAGAAGAAGAAGAGAAAAAAAAAGAATACTCATTCTTGCCTTTCTAAGGGTTTATTAACTCAGCAACGAAGAAAACACCATCCGAAACTCTATCCGCCTAGTAAATCCCCCCTAAGACCCTTCATCGGATCGTTGTAATCCTATGTTTACTTTTCCTTTACTTCTTATGATCCTCCTGACAACTTATTGATATCTCATAAAGCCTACTTTATCGGAAAACTCTGATTCTCTATTTTTATTAACTCCACATCTTCTTATCTCGCAAACATATTTTTTCACACACACAAATACACTATAACATGAGAAAAAATAAATTTTTGTACAAGATTGAAAAAAAAAGATGAGAGCAATTAGAAGAATTTTTATATTGATTCTAATTAAATAGAAAAAAATTTATATGAGGGTCAGAATACTCAGAATTTCTCAAACGGATCACCTAAAATTCAGAAATTTTTTTTTTAATCAAAAAATTATTTCTTTTGACTCCTTACATGGTAAAAATAAGTCCCTGAATTTTTTAGGTCAAAAAAAATTTTTTTTTTTAAGTTATAAACAATTGAAATTTTTTGCAGTCTTATTTTAAAAAATTTTTTTCTCGAGTTCCTGTTTACCAATTAAAAAAAAAAGGTTTTTCTCGTCTTAAAATGTAGTTTCTAAATATAATTTTTATTTTGAAAAAATTTCATATTTAATAAATTTTTATATTATTTATTTATAAAATGTTATTAAAAAATAGTGTTCTTGACGTCCTACAGAAAATTAAAATTTTTTTTTGAATAAAAATATAAATAATAAATAATATAATATAAATAATATAATAATAATAATAAATAAAAATAAAATATAATTTTTATTTTGAAAAAATTTCATATTTAATAGATTTTTATATTATTTATTTATAAAATGTTATTAAAAAATAGTGTTCTTGATGTCCTACAGAAAATTAAATATTTTTTTTTTGAATTCCCCACACAATTTTGTGTAAGAAACCGTTGAGAAAAAAAATGAGACTAAAAAAAAAATTTCTGAATTTTAGGTGATCCGTTTGAGAAATTCTGACCTATGAATTAAAAAAAATTCCAAACCAACATAAAGAATAATAAGAATAATAGGATTTAAAAAAATCAAACAATTTCGAATCAAAATTTTGATGTTTATTCCCCTAAAGAGAGAGAGAGAGATGGAAAAAGAGGAAATTAACTTTTTAACAAGTTCCCATAAAGATTTTAACCTTGGCCATAAAGTTATTCTTTTTCTTACAACAATAAAGCTTTTATGCATTTTTTGCGGACATTAAACTACCCTCAATTTCATTTCTGTTTTGGAGTTATGAGATGTTTAATGGGGATGTTTCATAAAAGTGAAGTAAATAGCTCTTTCTCTCCACATACACTCGGCTTTGTTTTCCCGTATGGCTTCCCCCCCTCCTTCTCTCTCTTTTTGCCTTTGAGGAGATGAGAGACATACTTCAAACAAAATTACATATACAATTATTTGATAAACGATTATAAAATAATAATAAAAAAATTATTAAATAAAAAAGTAACAAAAAAAAATTAATAAGATAAATAAATTAATAGAAATATAATAATTAAATAAAAAAAACAATAGGAAATAAAAAAATTTAAATAAATAGTTTTCAATTAACCGTAAAAAAAATTCTTATTAAACGCAAAATACTTGTTATTCCAATTAAGAGAAAAATGTATATTCTTTTTTTTTTGTTGAATTATTTGATATGCAAATAATTGATCCAGCAATATTTGTTTTCACTTTATTCGCAAATAAATCGAAAATGTATATCAATTTCTTGAAAATACACGAGGGGGAAAATGGACAAATTAGATTAGCAAAGTTGCATTCGCGGAACGTTAACGTATAATTGTTGGTCGATGAATCACTTGAATACTGATTAAAGAACGCAGTTACCGTGAATGGGAATGAATCCTCGATTTAGTCCACGTACAGCACAGTAAATACATTAGCACTAATTCGTGTTCATTAGAATAATGACATTAAGTGGTTTTCCGTTTAAGCCTCAGTGGAGTGTAAAGAGAGCTATAGAGAGAGAGAGAGAGAAAGCTACCCGAATGTACATAGACTATAAATTGTATCTCAAAATGATTATGGCTAGTGATTTGTTTCGCAAATTAGTGCCAATTAAGACGAGGATAATTAACTATTACTAAAACAAGAGAGAGAGAGAGAGGAAAATTATATTTAACCCGCTTCAATGTTACGATAATCGAAAATTTTTACTTCAAAAACAGTTCAGTGATACGTGCTTTCCAAAGAGGATCAAACATTTCCCAATTTAAAACTTGTTGACTCACCTTTTCACTTTGTGTATCCAGCGCAGAAGTGGCTTCATCCAACAGCAGAATTCGAGGATTTCTGACTAAAGCACGTGCAATAGCGATTCGCTGCTTTTGCCCGCCGGATAGTTGCGTTCCCTTCGTACCTAATCTCGTATCATAACCCTGCAACAAAAAAAGGGAAAAAAATCCTCTAACTCGATTTTTCGATAATCAAAACTCTCCAATCTCCGAAAACCAATTTTCCAAAATTCACTTTATCTAAATTACATCACAAAAGATTTTTTTTTGCCTTCTTGTAGAAAATATTTTAAATAACCTTCTGTAAATTACTGTCAGGATTAAATATATTTAAATTTATGTGAAACTCACCAAAGGTAGAGAGCTAACGAAGCTGTGAATATTGGATTTTTTTGCAGCTTCAATAATTTCATCCATTGGCACATATCGATCATTGGCACCGTATGCAATATTTTCAGAAATTGTACGATCAAAAAGCACTGGCTCCTGACCAACAACACCAAGTTGTCGACGTAAAATAGGAAGTGAAACAGACGATATGTCACGACGATCCATTGTAATTGTTCCCGTAAGCGGATCGTAGAGCCTTTGCAAAAGTTGAATGCAAGTGGACTTACCGCAACCGCTCTGACCGACCAGCGCTACCATTTGCCCTGGCTTCACAATTAAATTGAGACCCCTGAGAATTTGCATCTCCGGCCGTGTTGGATAGTAGAATTCAACTTTCGAAAACTGAATCAGTCCATCCGCTTTCTGTTAGAACAAAAAACAAAAATTAACAAACAAAGTTTCTACAAAAAAAACAACAGTTAAACTAACCCAATCTTTGTCCTTTTCATCATACTCCGGCGGTGTCATAATTTCCGGTACACGATCAAGCAATCGAAATATTCTACCAGCTGATATTTTCGCTGTATTAAAATTCGGAGCAAATGCAAGTGCCTGTCCAAGCATCCACGAGCCAAAAATTAAAGCCTCGGATACTTTGATAACATTCTCATAGGCTAAACCTTCTCGCGCTGCCAAATAACCACCGTAATACAAACTCAATGCATAACCAAAATAGGGTGTTGTTTGACCACAAGAAAACACCAAACCACGAAGTCGATTTTTAATTCTCGTTGCTCTTGCCACATGATCCAATTCAACGCAATATCTCGTTAAAAATGCCTCCTCTTTACCTAAACTAGCAACAGTTCTTATATTCGATATCGCTTCAATTGCAATTCGTGTTGCACATTCCATTTTTCTCTTCTCCTGTAATCCCTGTCCGCTCATTATTCTCGCCTCAAAAAATACAGCACCCAATACCAATGGTATTGACACAACTGACACCAATGTCATTTTCCACGTGTAATACATTGATATTCCAATACCCAATACCAATGTTGAGAGAGCTTGAAGTATTGCACCAATACGACTTCCCGTTGCACCTTGAACTGCTGCAGCATCCGATGATAATCTTGCACAAAGTGCACCAACGCTATTTGTATCCTCATCGTACCAACCCATTTCTTGTTTTAACATTGCTGCAAATGTCATTGAACGAATTCGCGTTGTCATTCGTACGCCCGCCAAACCAAAGGTGTACATTTGTAGAAATGTACCGAGACCAGTGAATATTCCCACGAGAATAAAAAGAATTGCATAATTTACTGTTCTTTGATGTACCATTGTTTCATCTCTCTCGGTAAATACACCGTATACCTCACCGAATAGTACGGCAAACGCGGGAAATGATGCACCAACTGTGGCTGCTGCAAGGCAACCTAAAGCAAATGGATAAAAGAAATATTTTTCAAAATTCTATTCTTTTGAGAATTTTTCTAGAAAAATAGTTAAATTTTTTGTATACGCGAAAAAAAAGGGAGGTGGATTTTAACTGTCAATGGGGAAAAAAATCCTTAGCAACGGCAGGAAAGGATACTTAACAAGAGGAACCCACTAAAAATCAGAATTACATTACTTAGGATTCCTAGTTATTATGACAAGGAATTTGTTTGTCACATCCTAGTTAATGTGACTCTGATTTTTAGTGGGTTCCTCTTGTGAATAGGAGCATATAGCTAAATCGCCTAGGAATTTTTTTCAGTGTACCCAGAAAGCACGGAAACTTGCGGCAAGCTTACCGTGGAAGCTTATCAAGCTTGCCGCGCAAGCTTGCTGCAAGCTTGTCTGAGCTAGCAAAATGTCCCACCCAGGGCAAGCTTGCCGTGAAAGCTTGCTGTAAGCTTTCCAGGAAAGGTTGCTGCAATCTTGCCATGAAAGATTGCTACAAGATTGCTGCAAGCATAATAAGAATGAATGCGGCAAACTTGCCGTGAAAGATTGCTGTAAGCTTGCTACGTAAGGTTGCAGTAGAATTTCAACAGGCTTCTGGAAAGGTTGATGCAAGGTTGCTGCATGCTTGCTGCAATTTTAAAAAAATACATTTTAAATTAAAAAAAATTTTATTTGTTTTCTAAATTTGAAAATCCTTGTGACGTTTATTATTATTATGTCCTGTTTATTTTCATTTGGAAACTTAACGAGAAAATTTTCGAAATAAATTTGAGGAGACTGGGAATTGAACCCGGGTTCGACAGACACTAACCAAAGACCCTAACCGAGAACCTATTCGATCAACTATCAGAGAATAAAAAAATCTTGCTCTTAACCCTCGTTTTTCAATTGTCTTTCAACTCATAAAAACAGTCGAGGGTTAAGAGCAAGATTTTTTTATTCTCTGATAGTTGGTCAAGTAGGTTCTCGGTTAGGGTCTTTGGTTAGTGTCTGTCGAACCCGGGTTCAATTCCCAGTCCCCTCAAATTTGTTTCGAAAATTTTCTCGTTAAGTTTCCAAATGAAAATAAACAGGACATAATAATAATAAACGTCACAAGGATTTTTAAATTTAGAAAACAAATAAATTTTTTTTTAATTTAAAATGTATTTTTTAAAAATTGCAGCAAGCATACAGCAACCTTGCATCAACCTTTCCAGAAGCTTGTTGAAATTCTACTGCAACCTTACGTAGCAAGCTTACAGCAATCTTTCACGGCAAGCTTGCCGCAATCATTTTTATTATGCTTGCAGCAATCTTTCATGGCAAGATTGCAGCAACCTTTCCTGGAAAGCTTACAGCAAGCTTTCACGGCAAGCTTGCCCTGGGTGGGACATTTCGCTAGCTCAGACAAGCTTGCGCGGCAAGCTTGCCGCAAGCTTGCTGCAAGTTTCCGTGCTATCTGGGTAATTCAGTGATTATCATTTTCGAGAAATCTCACCAATGACATTGTATAGCCATTCAGGTCGATTCAGATTAAATATTCTCATTAATGGTGCATCATAAGGCTTCTCATGCTCCTCCAATTGAATTTCTGATGTATCTGAACCTCCAGCCAGGGACAAACGATGAGAGTGCATAGACAATGTTGAAAATTGTTTCTTTAATGGAGGTTTTGGCTTGACAGGTTTAGTGGCAGTGACAGTTTTAGCAGCCGATGCTGTTGCTTTTGCTGTAAAACAATAGACAAATTTTCATCAGTGATAATGATTTATTTATTATTATTATTAAAATAATATTTACAATAGTCTTAAATTTTTTTTTTACATGAAGAAAAAATGGGTAAATATTAATTTTTTTTTTCTGTTCACCTTTGGCAATTGCTGTGGCATCAGCTGAAACAAGACCATAGTAATGTTGGCCAAGAAGCATTAGTTCTTCATGTGTTCCCATTTCAACGACTTGTCCCTCTTTAATGAAAACAATTCTATCAGCATTTGTAATTGTGGAAAGTCTATGAGTGACAACAACAGTTGTACGTCCTTTTGCTGCAGCATCCAATGCACGTTGAACAGTTGCTTCGCTATGTAAATCTAAAGCCGATGTCGCTTCATCCAATAATAATATTCCCGGTTTACGAACTAAAGCTCGTGCTATTGCTATCCTCTGTTTTTGTCCACCTGATAATTGTGAACCTCTTTCACCCACTTGACTGTCATAGCCCTTTAAATCAAAATTTTATTTATTATGCTCTACACTGCGTTGAAAATTTTGCTTTTCAGTTTTAAAAACAGTTTTAATCGGACGTGTATCGTTTTTTGTTACAGTAGTAAAATTAGTAGTTAGTACTTAGTACTTAGTAATTAGAATCAAATTTAGTACTTTATTTAAATTAGTAAAAACTTTCTACTAATTTCTAGTCATATTTCCCTAAAATTTTAGTAAAAAAATATTACTAAATAAATTAATAATATTTCACTAAAAATAAATGAAAATTTCTACTAATTTCAACAAACTAATTCGAAATTTAGAGATATGGAAATGTTAAATATGAAAATCAGTTATATAATATAGTTTTCAGCTATGAGAATTATGATGAAAAAATTGTCCATTGTCATGTACAATACTGTCTCTCTTTGCGCTTCAATAGATGTTTAACAGTTCCAATCCTGCCGGAAACAATAGCCATTGTACATTATACCTAGGTACCTCTGAGAATTTAACAAAGGGATCGGTAGAAGGAATCCTGAGAATTTTGACCAGAATAGAGAGCGATACAATATCTGAATTACTATTCTTGATTCAAACACATGCTGCTCATTGCAGTTTACAATATATATATATATATATATAATAAAAATTTAAATCCAAATATTTTATTTGTTTCTTTCATAACGAAATTTTTAATAAATTCCGATAAAATGGCATTCAAAATTGAATATATGCTCAAGGTACACGGTCACTGTACCCGTTACCCTTTATTAGACGAAGAAATAAAATAGGGTAAGGGGTACAGTGACCGACACCCTGGGCATACTTTCAACTTTAAATGACATTTTATCGTAATTTATTAAAGATTTAGTTATAAAATAAATTTTAAATAAAAGATTTGGGTTAAAATTTATAGTACACAAGTTTAAAATTAAAAAACACCTTGATAAGAGTTTATAATATTAATTTAAAAATGTATGGTATGAAAACAGTGAACGACACCCTTTAATAAAATAAAAAATATTTAAACTTCTATTTAAGTAACATGATATTTATTAGTATTATCATAAATTTTATTATTCAGACTTAATGTACAAAAAAAGTTGCTTTTAAAATATAATTATTTAACAATTTTTTCATATTTATAAAAATTTGTAATCAATAAAGCAAATTTTTTGAGGTTAGTTTTCTAGAAAGTATTAAATATTGAGGAAAATATAAATATATAAAATTTTGGATAAACTGTATAAGTTTTTAAATATTGTATATTAATTAATTTACTAGTGATATTTAATTCAATATTATTATTTTTGTAGTTATTATCGTTTTTAATAGCAGGTGTCGTTTACTGTCTGGGTGTCGGTCACTGTACCTTTTACCCTATATTTAATAGAATTATTAATTTAATAAAGTATAGAATATTTATTCTTTATTTGAAAAACTCTGGAGTAGAACTTAACATAATTATAATAGGAATTAATTTCTTGATACTTTTAATAATAACAGGATTTTGCAATAAGTCGACAAGCGCAGGTAAGAAGTAAACAATAGTGCAATAAAACAGGTAATAAACCACACTGTTTGTTGTGACCCCTTAGATCACATAGTACTTATCAAAGTTTATAAATAAAATAAGTTAACTTTAATATAATATTTAATGTATATTTTAGCTATTTGCGTTCATATCGACAACAATTTTTTGAAAATTATAAAGTCATGTTTTCAAAATTTTTGTATCATTCGATTACATTAGGTATAGTCTCGATGCCAGACTTATTTTTTTCAAATTTGGAAATGAAATTTTTTATAGCTTTCTATATGATAATTCTATATAATAATATAATTTATAAAATAGCACATAATATGGTATATAATATAAGAATATAGTAAATAATAACTTTTAGCCAATCAACGCCTGGCGTTAATAGCGAAAAATGTGTTCCACCCCCATACAGCTCCGCGCGCCAATTTCAGTAGAATAATAATTATTATATTAATTATATAATATAATATGAAATATAAAATAGTATAAAATAAAATCTATAATATAATCTATAATATAATCTATAATATAATCTATAATATAATATATAATATAATATTTAATATAATAAATAATAATTTTCAGCCAATCAACGCCTGGCGTTCATATCAAAAAATTTGTTCCACCCCCTCCAGAGTCGCGCGCCAATTTCAGTAGAATAATAATTTAATATTGTATTAATTATATAATATAATATAAAATATATTTTAGTATATAATATAATATTTAATATAATAAATAATAATTTTCAGCCAATCAACGCCTGGCGTTAATAGCGAAAAATGTCTTCCACCCCCATCCAGCGTCGCGCGCAAATTTCAGAATAATAATTTAATATTGTATTAATTATATAATATAATATAGAATATAGTATAGTATATAATATAATATATAATATAATTTAATATAATTTTATATAATATTTAATATAATAAATAATAATTTTCAGCCAATCAACGCACGGCATTCTCTACGGGGTCCACCGAAAGCACATTTCGAGGCTTCAACCATTTAGTCCGCCATTAGCCACGTGCCTGCATCGTTCTGATTTTGTGCAAGTCAGTAGGCACGTTTTTCAAGATGAAGAGGTCCGGAATTTTGGTGAGTCTTTCTCAATTACTTACACCCAGATACCACACTGTGACTTCTACATTTAAAAAGGAAAAAAATTAACTTTTTATTGAATGGTGATTCTGATAGAAAAAAGTTTTTTCTATAAGAATCACCAATCAATAGAAAATTAATTTTTTTCCCTTTTGTAAATGTCCAAGTCACATCCTCCTTTTCCAGGTTGTTAACCATGTTAAGTTCCATACTTAACTCTGTTAACTTCCAGTTAATTTCCTTGAATGTCTATATTCTCTCCTTTTTTTTCTTTCCTTTGTTAATTTTCTAGTAATTATCAATAATTTACTGGAAAAATGCAAGGGATTTTTCTGTACAATATTAAAGTGTATTTTTTAAAGATTATAGTTTTAAATTTTTCATGAAACTAAAAGTGACACCTAGTTATCAGCTCCAAGTTAATTTTGAAAAAATTTATGTTAGAAATAACAGAAATAAAGTTAACTCTATTAATATTAATTTATTAATAGAGTTAAATTTATTTATGTTATTGATAACACATATTTTTTCAAAATTAACTTGGTGCTGATAACTAGGTGCCACTTTTAGATTAATAAAATTGGGAAACTGAAATTGCACCTACCAATCAGCTCCAAGTTAATTATGAAAAAAAAAATGTTATGAATAACATAAATAAAGTTAATAAAATTCACTCTATTAATAAAATAATAACATTAATAGAGTTTATTTTATTAACTTTATTTATATTATATTTCTAATATAATTTTTTTCAAAATTAACTTGGAGCTAATAGCTAGGTGCCAATTTCAGTTTCCCAATTTTATAGAACTAAAAGTGGCACGTAGTTATCAGCCCCAAGTTAATTTTGAAAAAATATATGATATGAATAACATAAATAAAATTAACTCTATTAATAAAATAATTATATTAATAGAGTTAACTTTATTTATGTTATTTCTAACATAAATTTTTTCAAAATTAACTTGAAGCTGATAACTAGGTGCCAGTTTTAGTTTTGAAAAGTATCTAATCAAAGTAATTACATGTGAATTTCCCCAAAAATTAAATAATTAATTTTTGGTAAATGGGACATTCTACTTGAAGTAGATAATCTTGATCCTCGTTTGTTTTTTAATATTATTCTTTTAAATAAAATTAATTTATTAAAAATTTATTAAAGAAAGGAAAATCGATGAATACTTTGCATTAAATTTAATACAAAGTATTAATCTACTTTCCTTTTGTTCGATAGAATTTTAATAAAATAAGAATATGCTAAATGTAATAATATTAAAAAGAAAAAAGAGGGGGTTGTTTTGCTTCATCTAGAAAGCCCCAAATGTCATTAGATAAGTTTAATATATGTTGATATAATAATATTTATCTATATGCAATATTTTTTTACATTATTTATTTAATTAAAGTCTTAGTCACACCAAGAGCATTAAATTTAAAACATAGACGTAATAATCGAAGAGAATATATTCGCGTTTGATACAAACATTCTGCACAGACGCTAATATACTATCCTCGCTTCCTACGCCTGTGTCTTAAATTTACAGCTCTCGGTGTAACCAGACTGTATTTTTGTATAATTATTATTAGATTTTTTTACTATATATTTCTTATTTCTTTAAATATGTTTAATATATAAAATTAAATGAATTTAAAGAAATAATAAATAAATAGTAAAAGAAAATAGAAAAATAGTAATAATTAGAAAAGTACATACAAAAATACTAAATAAATGTAAAAAAAATAAAATATAAATAAATATTAGAAATAAATATATAATTAAACTTATTTAACTGAGGAAATTCAAATGTAAACAAATATACTTTAAATAGATACTTTTAAAGAAAAATTTAAAACTATAAACAGTCTTTAAAAATTAAGACTTTAATATTTTGCGAAAAATCCTCTTTATTTTTCAAGTAAATAAACATTGATAATTACAAGAAAGTAAACAAAGAAAAGAAATAAAAAAGAAGAGATTATAGACATCCATGGAAAATCAACTGGAAGTTCGCAGAGTTAAGACCGGAACCGAACATGGTTGACGAACCTGAAAAAGGGGGGGCTGTGGTTCATATCTGGGCTGTGAGGAGAGAGAGAGAGAGAGACCACCAGATGAAAGGACCCTACCAGAAGGGGAACCCACGACGAACGAAATAATGAACAAATAAAGAAAATTATAAACAAAATTTATATCTTTTTTTCTTTGTATGTCTGTCTGTCTGTCTCTCTCTCTCTCCTCCTCCTCCTCCTTTATCCACCTGCCTGCTGGTCCTTCATTGGTGCAGTCCTCCAAATTACTGCCCAAATACCACGTATTCTTCTTCTTCCAATTTGCTAACATGCGTCGTCCCTGTTTTAAATCTGC